AACATTTGGCCGGTGATTTGGCCGGATGGACCAAATGTGTTAAAAATTGCATAGTTAAGGGACTAAACTGTTACTTTTTAAAGTCATGTACTGAAATTAACAAGACCACAATAGTCAAAGGACCAAAAATGTAATTTTCTCTTTAAATAATTAACATCCATGTAACTTCTCCAAACTGCTATATTTACATCTATAAATATTTGGATAAATGTCTGAAAAGAGACATGCAAAAAAAAAAAAAAAAAAAAAAAAAAAAAAACTTGCATAAGACTAAGATATTTCACAGTACTACATTTCAACAGGAAGTTCTTAAACAAGCAACTTAAGAATTTCATCATCTTCTTGTATCCCATAAGATTAAATCTTGAACCTTGTTGCTTTATATAAGAGAGATTTAAAGCTTATAGGAAAGTGATCACGCGCCTGAAGATCCTGTTTCCTCACTTCCCTATCATCAAACACTCCATTTTTCTAACAAGATAATAAAATAGAAAGCTTGGGATAATAATCAATGTTTAGAGCAACTTGTTCGACTCCTTCATGAACTCCAAAGTCACCTTTATAGAATTATAGTAAAAATATTGTAACCAACTTGTCTAAATAATTGCGGCATAAAATCCTCAGAATAAGATGCTCCATTCAATTCTAAAAGTTGCCTGAAAATTGGTTTTAATTACCAGAATTTGTTAGTGAAATTCTCCATTCATGAAATACGTTCTGACTCAGACACAATATCTTCTGAAGTAGATCCAGACTGTAAGACATTACCTTAAACAATCTAACCAAACTAATTATGTTTTGACAAATAATTTAGCCAATTAATATAGAGTAACACGTGTAATATTTGTACACTTACAGTATGGAAGGAATGTTACATGATATTTGTAACGGAATGGTTAATTATAATCTATAAATATATTTCATTGTAAACTAGGTAGTCATGACATACTGCTATGTGTCAGGACTTACGAGTTATTTAATAATGAGTTATTAAATATTACTCATTGCTAGTTTGACTATGAACCTAGAAAGTCACACCTTAATGGTTTGTGGTAAGAGAAAATTACACTTTTGGTCCTATGACTATAGTGGAGGTGGTAATTTCAGTTCGTGACTTTTAAAACTAACAGATTTAGTCCTTTTAGTAAGCTTTTTTTTACACATTGAGTCCTTCCGGCTAATTTGCCGGTAGAAATCTGCCGGAATGTCAATTGGATTTGTTTATTAATTTTTTGGGAGGGGTAAAATCGTCCGTTCAGGTCATAGAAAAGGGGGGGGGGGGGAAGTGTAATAATACTGAAGAAACAGATGATCTCGGTACAGAACTACTGAAATTCGAATTACTACTAGCATCATTACTATAAGTAGAATTCACAGTGTTATTAACCTCAGAAGAACTCGAATTATTAACGAATGTATGATTCCACAGCTTGAAAAGCCCCAACTGCTGCCGCTGGAGCAGATACAGAGCCCGCAACTCGGGCTCGCGCATGCGATTAAAAGAAGCGTCGGTTTTAATATTGGCGACTCCAGTTTGGAAGACGTCCTTAATGTCGGTGGCGAAGTAGAGAATGAGAAAGAAGAGGGGAAGGACGATAGCTATGAGGTAGCCGTATCTCTTCGCGGAGCTTAAATTGAACCGGCGGCAGCTGAATGGCCGGTTTTCGAAGCCGCCGTTGATCTTGAAGGTGGAGTGGAGCGGCGACTTCCCGTTGCCGCGCCTTTCGTTCTGGTCGATTAGGGTGAGGTGATCCTCCTCTTCGTCTGAAGAGGATTCTCTGTCCATTGTGCGGCGGAGGAAGCCAAAATAGGCGGTGAGAACTACTGGTAGTTGTGTGGTAATCTGGCTATGGTTTCTCTCTCACGTAGAACAGTGTGTTTGTGTGTGTTTTTACAGTTGGAAGTTGTTTGTGAATCAGATGGGCCACCTGAACGGACGATTTTACCCCTCCAAAAAATTAATAAACAAATCCAATTGACATTCCGGCGGATTTCTACCGGCAAATTAGCCGGAAGGACTCAATGTGTAAAAAAAAGCTTACTAAAAGGACTAAATCTGTTAGTTTTAAAAGTCACGAACTGAAATTACCATCTCCACTATAGTCATAGGACCAAAAGTGTAATTTTCTCTTTGTGGTAATGCTGAGAACTTTCAAAGAAAATGATAAAGAGTTATCAATATAGAATTAATACATTAATAACTTATTAATGAAAGCAAATTATACAATGGACCAGAGTCTACCTTGCATTGTAGACCCTGGTCCAAAAATAACATTCAGATTTTGTATCTATAGTTGACACATTCTGTACATGCAGTTGCTAGTTTCTGTACCTGTAGCTATCATATTATGTGTCAGGATCTATCAAGTCAGATTATGTATCTATAGTTGACACATTATGTACTTGCAGTTGATAGTTTCTATATTTGTAGCTATCATATTATGTGTCAGCACTCAGCAATTATCAAGTTATTTGTTTACAGGTACAGAAATTGTTAATTAACTGTAGGTACAAAATGTGTTAACTGAAGGTACATAATTTTTGTATCAGGGTTCACAATGCAATACAAATCATGGTCCATGGTATAACAATTGATTAATTAATGAATTAATTCTATATTGGGTAGGTTTGTGCTTTTAAAGGCTAGCACCTTTGGGCCCAAATCAGGCTTTATAAATAGCCTTGTCCATTTCTTAAAGTAAGAGAAGTGAAAAAGAGACTTTAGTTATAACAGAGTTTTCACGTAAAATCTTTGGGAGTTCTCACGTGCACGGTCGGTGAACGGACTAGAGGCCGTACAATTGGACGATTTTGGAATTGCATCTGTTAAAGCACGCTTCAAGGGTAAAATATTCTTCTTTTTAAACGTAGAATCTAGAAAAAGTGATTGATGCTTCCGTTGCGCGTGTATGAATTTTTCTAATAAAAATAACAAGCACCACACTATTAAAACTTTATTTGCTATCTCCTAACAAAGTTGCTACCCAGGATAAAACAAGTTACTATTAAAACCTTATTTGTTACCTCCAAACAAAGGTCCTAGGAGCATTACCGCCTAGGTTTCCTAGGATAAAACATGAGCGTTACCGCCTAGGTTTCCTAGGATAAAACAAATTACGTGCTGATAACATTAAACCTAATAAAGAACCTCTATGCTATACAATTTAACATTCCTTCAAAAGTGTCTTGTATATATAGTGGGGGTGCAAATCTTTTTTTTTTTTTCAATGTGGGACAAAGGCTACTTATAAGTCTTCCCACCTTCATTTCCCAACTTAAATGGGTTTACTTTAAGAATCAATTTCGCATTCACCCATTATCCGTTTTGAACGTACAATATATCAATCTCTCCGTCTCACTACGAATAATCTGAATTCACTTTGACTCGACCCCAATTGAAAATGGACTCCACATATATTTATACCACAAAATAGCTACTTACAATGCCCTTTTTGTTATTTTTTTCCCAATAGTCAGTTAATCATTTGCTGCTTGTCTAATAATAATTGAACTACTCAAAACACTATTTTGAAATGGAACTTTAATTTTGAAGAATCAATTTATGAATATGATGAGGATTTGTGTCCCTACTAACTTTTGGGCTCACTAAAACAAGTGGTTCCAAGCTTGTTCTGAGCCGGCCACTTGATTATCTCTGCATACTGCAATCAATTCCTAACTTCAATTGCATGCATGTATTTAATGTGTATATATCCAACAATCTCCTTGTGAGAATGTGACTATTTTACCTGGTACTTTTTGGGAGTATAAGATGGAGAGGTTTTTGTTGTTTCTTGAATTAATCGGATCTTTTTCATTGTGACTTGTCATGTTAGAACTAGAGAAAGAAATGACAACACGGTGAAATATGCTATCTCCATACATGTAGGATCCACCTTCTTTATCATGTTAAAGAAATTAAACAATTTATGAAAACTACCCTTAGAATATAATGTGTGGTTTTATACTCACCACAAATTTGAATATATTTTTTTTTTTTTTGAAAGTTACTGGCTCTATTACATTGTAGTATCTGTTCATCACAAATTTGAATATATAATTTCTTCAATTAGTAAATATTTTAGAAACACATACAATTTTAGCTTCATATATTTAATATTAATTTTGGAGTAGATTAAATCAACCAAATACTATGCGAAGCCATTTTCAGGCAATATTATTTTTGCTCCATAAAATACGGCAAATTATACCGTGCACCAATTGTACTTCCTAGCTAAAACGACGTTGTTTTGACCATGTTTTTGTTAGAAATTTCGTTTCCCGTTTCTACTGTTAAATTCAAAAAAAAAAAAAAAAAAAAAAATTCTCTGTTTCGAATGTACATAAACTCATAACAGAAAACACATAAACTCATAACAAAATACACATAATCTAACATAATACATAATACACATAAACTCATAACAGAATACACATAATCTAACATAATACATAATACACATAAACTCATAACATAATACACATAATCTAACTTAATACATAATGCACATAAACTCATAACAAAATACAATACATAATCTAACATAATACATAATACACATAAACTCATAACATAATACACACATAAACTCTTAACAGAATACACATAAACTTATAACAGAATACACATAAACTCTTAACATAATACACATAAAATCTTAACAATAAAAACGACGTCGTTTTGGTCACTTCTTCTCCCGGAAGGTTGAATCCCCAACCCCAAAGGTCCCTACATCTTGGTCCGACAGAGCATTTGACACTTGCACAGGCATGGCTCATTGGCTGAGTAGATAGTATTTGAGAGAATCAATATAATGTAATTATGTTCAAAGTGAACAAATCTTTTTGTGTGCACCGACATTTGACCCTCCTATCTCTGTATGATATGGGTGACGACTCACGGGATATCTAGCTAGCCAATTAACTAACGAGGCAATTAGGCGTAGCCATTCATCATAATAAATCAAACAAACATTCTCTCTCACCTACCATTACTCCGATCCCAACCATTCGCCTTCAACAGCCTACTTAAAGACTGCTTCTAAACAAGCTAGCGTATATGTGAACAAAACATACAGTATCTCAAATCTATCAGAGCTTCAATCCTTCTATTCGTCCTATTACTACCTTTCCCAATCCTTAATTTCTTTGCTAGCTTAGCTTCTTCAAAAACCTAAGGCTTATTTAATTTCTAGTACGTCTTGTTGTCCTACCTTCAATAATCTTCTTGTTTCATCACTTACGTTGCCAATTATATTCCTTCAACTCCATCCCCTACCTTTTCAATGGAAGGCCAAGATCTGAGTCTTCGAGTTGCCTCATTTTCTTGTTACCTCAACCCCGAAGATAGCTTCGTGCAGAAGATCTGGCCGGGATCATCCTCAAACCTTAAAATCTCCAAAACAAACAACGCTGCAGGCGGCCTTCGAGTGAACAACAATAATAATTTCACGTTCAACAACGCGGCCTCGTCGCGCCCGGTTCAAGATCCTACCGTCGCATTTATTCTCCCCGGCCACCACCAACCACCGTCGACGAAAAAAGACGCCGCCCAAGTTACCATCTTCAAGGCAGATAAGTACTTCAATACCACCACCTCGGATTATGCCACTGTCCCTGGAGGGATCAAGTACGCAAACCCACAAGGCCAAGGGGATTATTTCAAGTCTGCAACGCCTAGTTTGTGCTCAGAATCAAGTAGCCAAATGGTGCTTTTACCAAACATCATCAAACATAATAAGAAGGGCATTGGACGGAGGCTTTTCTTGGGTTTGGGTTTTGGCTGCCGAGGTCCTTGTTCCGACAATAAAGCCGTTTTCATTAGCCACTCAAAAGGAACGGAACATTTCGCGACGAATTCTGGGCATTTCAGGGAAGAAAATGGCATGGGAGGAGGAGAGCCTGCAAGAAAATCATTGGAAGTTTTTGGGGCTGATAAAAAGGGTGGCATGGCAGGCAACTTAGAAAGGAAACTATCAATGTTAACCTGGGATGCCATACCACCAAATACTCATCAAAACAATCCTCCTCCCATGACTCCCACTGCCACAATTAGTAACACTATTTGCGACGATCGGGCTAGCGATGCGAGTTCTGATCTATTCGAAATAGAGGATATTTCTAGCACCGCCGGGCACGGATATGGAGCTTGCCGGACGGCGGGTTACACTACCTCTGCCTCTGGGTGCTCATCTCCGACTCACTACGCGCCTAGCGAGGCTAGCATCCAGTGGAGCGTCGTCACGGCCAGCGCCGCCGATTATGCCTCCGATTATTGTGACGAAAAGTGTTATAGCATTGCCGCTGTTCATGATACAATTCATCCTAGAGCCGTCGCGAAAGCCAAGAATACTACTGCCACGGCCAAATCGTCGCTTAAAAGCCGTAGTTCCGGCGGGCTCTTAGGGTGTAACAGCTACAAGGCCGTAAGTGTGGCCAACACTGCCGATCATCAACTACCAAAGCTGCTAGGAAACCATACACAATTATCGTATGCTAGAAATGTTTGATCTATATTTTACAACTATATATTTTATATGAGCGATGCAATGCCCAAAAATAATTGTCTAATATAAGTTATTACTACTTTATATTAAAATTTTAGATTTATTTAAATTTTAGATATTTATATTATATTATTGTAAATAATAATAATAATGTAAAATATTTTTATAAATTTGATATTTATATTTTAAGAAATAACTATATATATATATATATATATATATATATATATATATATATGTGTGTGTGTGTGTGTGTGTGTGTGTGTGTGTGTGTGTGTGTGTGTGTGTGTGTGTATCCAATATATAATGTGTATATATATTATTAATATTATTGAAGAATAGAAGAAAATATATTATGAATGCATGTGTATGCCCAAAATGCCTCCGCGCAAGATTATGACAAGGAGATCGAGGTCGCCAGGTCGGGTCATTCTCCGTGTCTTTATACAACTTGACTCTCCGCGAGATTGAGGAATTCCCGGGAGTTGAAGCAGAATAGTCAAGCGCAATTGAAGCCCAACTAAGGAACCAATAAGAGGCCAGGCCGTCCAACTGACCTTCCATTAGACCGAACCACAACCCAACTTGTTGCCAACCATAGCTTACCATTACCATCCCCCTTCCTTTTTCCAGATGGGACCCCCCCCCCCCCTCGATACGACCTCCCACCTTAGTGAGTGTGAAGCATAAACATTTAAGTAGTGATGCCGTCCAACAGTATCCGCCCATGCTTACCCATACAGAAGTCGAAGAAATATCCTCCCTACTCACTGGTCGAGTAACCTTTGATACCCGACGTAGCTTAGGTAGGTAGCATAATCGGACGTCACCGGGAGAAATGACTCAGGATTCACCTTGACTCCCTGAAAGCCTCATTGACCTTCCCGTTCTTCCCTCTTCTCACCTCCTTCCTAGAGTTCTATAGGGTTCTCCAAGGCCAGATTTGTCTAAAAGCACACTGTATCTTAACATATTTCCCTAGCTTTATGCTTAGCACGAGATTCCGTGCACCCTAGAACTGTTTTGTTTCTTCTTTTCTATTCGAGCCCTACCTTCAAAGCACAGGGGGAGGTTTTATAATGGTTCAATCCCAGGGCCACCATTGTAGCATCGCCACATACCAAACAATAATAAGGAGTCGAAGAACTGGATACTATCTGTGAAGTATCCTTGGCGTCTCCTAGTTCCTAATATCTAGCCTTCTCAATTCTGGAAACACAGATTCCTGACCAAAACTCGAGCCTTAACATCCTTTGCCGCGAAGAGTTCCTTGGAATTCTATGACTATAGAATCTTTCAATCTCCCGATGGCTGTGTCACAGGCCAACCTCTAGGGGCCAAGATACGACTTAGAAACCAAGTACACACTAGATTCTCAAATGGTCACCGTTGCAGTCTCTTTTCTTCTACTTGGGTCGAGCACCAAAGGTTCAATACTTAGGATTTTGCAAAAATTTCTTAAGTTTATAAAGTTGGTTTGAGATAGTAGTTTTTAACCTAACTGATTTCTTGTGCTTTGTAGATATGGGTTTGGATAAGGGGTTCAAGACTTCCACCCTTTGGGGCCCCTGCCCTAAAATTGCCTTGGGGCGGCTAAAAGGTTGCCACCATCGCCAAGATAGCCGCATCTATACCCACCTCTTTGAGGCTCACTACAATCGTCTCGAACAGCTCAGGGTCGGATTTCCAAGTGACCCATGTACATAAAAAGCAGGAAAAGACAAGGCCTCGGAGGTCGAATAGGTCCACCATTCGAAGAAACAAAACAGGTTGAGTCCCCAGATCAAACCCCGATTATCGACACTCCCTTGAGCGGAGGGGACCAGACCGGCCGGCCTTTTGGACAAGCTCAGCATATTCCTACCAGAGGCAGAGAGCACTTGTAACACCCCTAATTTTAAGGATAATTTAAAGCAATGTAAGACTTAAGAAGTAAGGCAATCTAACCATAAAGATTTAAATAGTGCGGAAGCTAAGTAAACGGTAACAGAGTGTTATGCCACATCTAAACTAAACTTTAGATGCACAGGCTAAGTTCAAACTACTTAAGTCAAAATCCATCACAAGTTCACAAGTCTAGTAATCAAGGCTCGTATGCCACATCGTCTAAGCTAAAAGAGAAGGAAAGGCTAATCTAAACAACGTCTCCATCTAGCGAGCTCAAGGATGAACTACTTTGTACCTGAAAAACATTAAGGGGTAGCACCCGTTAGCGAATAATGCTAAGTAACGCACTCCAACGCGTTAAGTACCATATCATATAGTTTATAAGAAAAACCACTTTTGAGACATTAGGAATACATACATATAGTCTTAGCATCACTAGCTTTTAAAAAAATAGAAGATAGAAGGATCATTTGACTCATCAAGAGATTCATTCAATCATACCGACCAACAACGGTTAAACAATGGAATCAATACGAGAAGACAATGATATAGATTCAACGATAAGGTATTCAATAAACAATCATCAAGGTCACATAGAAAGAGATGCTCATAAGCAATGAATTTCAAGAAACATTATCAATGATCAAGTTTCATGTTCCAACATTATACCAAGTTCCAACCTTTACACCGCTCTATCCTTATTTCAGTTCCAACATGAACCTGCAGGCCACACTGTACAACCAGTCCAACCTTATCCCTCCGGAGACTATGCTCCCCACTCGCTTTACTACCTGCTTGCCGCCAGCTTTTCATTAAACATATAACATATCACGTGATAGTTTATCGCTAATCATTTTGAGTAAAGCTGATATACGCCAGCTTTTATACACATAGTCACATAATCATTGACATAGAAAATCAAGGCTCATTCATAGCCCAATCAAAGAACAAGCATGATAAAGTACAACATTTGTACAAGTTCACAAAGATAGGTTCAATCGAATAACTCAAGAGAAAATACGAAGGAAACATTTCATGGTGATACCACAATAACGAAAGGCTTCCAAATCAAAGGATCACAACGATTAGTAACACAAGTCACCAATCCTCATCAAGAATAGGCAAGATCAATATGAGGTAAACACATACTAGTACCAACGAATCAACGTAACTAGCATGCAATTCAATCAAGATCATCAATAAGGCTCATTCGAACAACATATACTTCATATCAATCCAACGAATCACAAGATTGGATCATAAACGCGATTCAAGACTCACAAGTCCTATCACGGTCCTTAAGACATTTGTAACAGCCCCCAAATTTCAGCATAATTTAAAATCATTAACACTTATGAAATAAAGGCAAGACTACCATTAATACCCAAATAGAGTGGAAGCTAAACATCAGAGTTGGGGTGGTATGTCACATCTAAGCTAGAGAACCTAGATGCACAGGCTAACTATCTAAGCAAATTACAATCCATAATCATTATCCGAATACAAGCAAGGCTAACAGGCTGACTAAGCTAAGCTAATACTATCTAAGCCAGGAACCGTAACTCCCTCTAGCGCGCTCACGATCGTCTAATCAGTACCTGAAAAACATGCGTTATCACAACTGTTAGCGAATAATGCTAAGCAACCCACTCCCACCCGTTGAGTACAATAAGTATAGATATAAGAAAACCATTTTGAGACTTGGGAATACATAATATAATCCTAACAATTCTAGCTTTAAAACCAAGAATCAGACTCAAGGCATATCAACAGACACAACGCGACATGAAGCATAAAGACACAGCATGCAATACAAAACAAGGTAACAACAATAACAAGCCAGGCCACACCACAAGACACGCCCAGGTTCCAACCTTTACGCCTCTCTATCCTTATATCAGTTCCAACATGTACCTCCAGGCCACCCTTATCCCTCCGGAGCAGCGCATGCTCCCCTCCAACAAAACCTCCAACAATCCACCAACAAAACAACACACGTAGTGCCAAACATAGCTTGACATGTGCCTATAGCACAATGGTTAAGTGGTCTGTGCCTATAGCACAATAACTAGGAATTCGCAATGCCAAACATAACATGATCCGGCCTATAGCACGGTAATCATGCGATATGTGCCTATAACACAATGATTAAAGCACTCGCAGTGCGTCAAACCACCAACAAATCTTTTTCATCAACAACACATCTTTTCAATACCATGGGCAAAGCACAACAATCAAGACTTAATCAACAACTACATCACAGGGTTACCAGGAAAGGGCTCAACATGCGATAACAACATGGGATATTAGCTATATCATGCAAGCTACAGGAAATAACAGAAATTAAATCACGTGATACAAGTTTAGACCACATGCTTAGACACGACTCAAAAATCACGTTACGGTACCTAAAACATCATGCGAGACTCATACACGTAAAACAAGACACCACGGGGCACGGGGTTCGACCCGCGGAGACCGAACGACCCCGCACCAGCCCGTACTCGCGGGGGTACGGCGGGAGAACAACCTCCCGCCGGCGAAACCTCGCCGTTCCAGTGGGTGGACCGGCGGGTGGCCGTTCACCCGCCTGTCCTCTCGCTGGAACATCACCCATTTCGGGCGGATGATCGAGTGGGGGTTCGTCCCCCCACCGACTACCCGTTGAAACAAGATCCATGGCCAATTTCCCAACCCGGGAATTCATCCAGTTCATCCAAAATCAAGTCCAAACACTTCCCAATTCACAACAACAACAATAGGGACTTGATCATCAAGAATAGGCCAAGGAAACAACACAATTAAACCCTAAATACAATCACTAATCATGCCAAGAATCAAGAATAAATACACAATGGTTCAAGAACTCGGTCATAACAAGCTTAAACAACAAGCCCTAAACATAGAACAACACCCGAGCATGCATAAACCCACCCAAGAACGCCAAGAACGTATTCAATAACAAGATTCACCGTACAAATCCTAAGGACAAGCTCTAAACGCGATTAAATACAAGAACATGCCAATAACCACACAGGGTCATCAAGAATATCAAGAATATCAAGAACAACAAGAATTCATACCATAAATCCTAAAGACAAGCTCTAACCACGCAAACATACAAAATCACACATTTAATCATCCAACGGAGCCAATCAATA